AAATGGTCGTTTAGACCATTTAGTACTCGTTGATATTGTATACTCCCAACATGTCAGGTGTTGCCTTTTCCGCTATCGGCTATTTCATTCGAAGGTGGATCAGGAGTAGGTAGAAGAATCACCGTAGTCCCACCCAATTCTGTGAAACTTAAAAATCTTCAGAACCACCTTTCGAACAATTCTTGTAAATGATCTATTTGTCAAAACCTTTGCCCTCTGAATGATTCCTGACTTGCCATTCAAAATTACGAGACTTTCTGATTGTAATGCTGTAAAAGTGACGAGAGATTGTCTAACAATCCCTTATTGAATTAGAGAGTTCCGGTAAACAATTCCATAACCTTGAACAGTGAACCATCCTCTTAGCGCTCAACTAAGCTCATATATAATAGTTTTGCGAAGGCGATTTTTCAAACATAGAGAGGCCGTCGGAATTTACTGGCCAGTTCATAGGAAGAAGTGGCTAGCCTCACACCTGATAAAATTGGAAATTTTCTAAGCCGTAGATCTTTGAAGGGCCTGTTCTTGAAAAGTTCACACCCCTGGGTATAGCTTACTCATAGTATGTTATTAAACCAGGATTATCCATATTTGCATAGGCGGGTGATGTTCTCATCAGCACTAAGCGGAATGAAGCAGGGAGGGAGGTGAAATGTTGGCCTAGTGGACATAGATGAACTGTTGACAAAACATTTTCTTTCAACTTCGAGGAATATAAACTGTAAATAATAGAAGTATGGCATATATAGGCCGGAGAAGTGTAGTGGTAGGTGGCGCAATATCACAGACGTATGGTCACAGGTCGATATCCGCTTAGGTCAACCAAGCCATGCGTCCTCCCGGGGTCGACTCGTTAATATCAGACTCGTCTGGAGGGATAAGAGCATTGACTTGCACATTGGCTGGCCACCACAACTCATTGTATAGGCCACATACTCATTCAACTACAATTCTGAATAGAAGTCGAATACGGGGCTCATCCCTCAGACGTCAGTGCTCAAAGCCATAAGACTTTTAGCCTTTGTGGTAAGAATAATGATAATATTCCATTATTTACCTCACCGGGTTATAAGTTTAATGAAATTCGGAACCTTTTCGTTTGTGGGTTTTATGGAAGGAATCGTCCTTGCGTAACGAAGGCACCCAACTGAGCCTAACCAGATGTTGTGACGAACAGATGTAGCATGTGACCCGAAAGCATAAAAATCTTCACCTTCAAGGAAGCAAAGAGTTAAATGGTGTTTGCGTTAACTTGAGTACTAGTTGAGGCCCCATGCAAACTATCAAAACATCGAAGGTGCTTGGGGAAGAGCCAAGAACAAAAAACTGCTGAGTGAGATAATACTTTATTAGAGATCCTCTATCGAAACATACCCAACAAATAAAGTAACCGTATTCAGCGTATTTGTGCTTGCAAGAATCGTGAGCACTTACAGTTATTGCCTCAATATCGAAAGGACGAAGGTAGTACGAGTGCTGGAGCTAAAGACAACTTCCCGTCTCGTTCTCGTCCACAAGGACCGTTTTACATTCGCTGCTTTCAGTCGACAGGCCAGCTTCATCTCGTTCAAAAGATGAAGCTGGCCTGTTGACTGAAAGCAGCGAATGTAGAAAGGTGCTATGATTGCTCGTCTGACTCGATAATAGTCCTAGTCTTGTTGAGCCTTTGCTTGACGGCTTGTAGATTCCCCGTCACGGAGCTCATCTCTGAGTCTATCAGCAAAGCCTTGAGATACGAATCCTCAGCGAGGTCGTAGCGAGCCCATCGCTGATACAGTACACCTGAAATTGAGCTTGTTGAAAGTCACCATGAAGATCAG